TGTGTGTGTGTGTGTGTGTGTGTGTGTGTGTGTGTGTGTGTGTGTGTGTGTGTGTGTGTGAGAGAGAGAGAGAGTGTGTGTGTGTGTGTGTGTGTGAGAGAGAGAGAAAGGGTGCGCGTGTGCGTGCGTGTATATGTGTGTGTGTGTATGTGTGTGTGCGCGTCTGCGAACTCAGATAGGCCCGTTAGTCCAGCCTAATTGTTTTTGGGCTCCACCTATTGGCCCTTTCGGGGCTATTACCTACCGTCCACATCCAACAGGTAACTTTAAAAAAAAACACAATTGTGTTCTTCGTTTCCACCTGGGCCAACACTTCATGGGTTTTCGCAGCCCACAGGGTTGCATTTTATACATCCGACTGCTTTCAACGTTCGCAGCCCACAGGGTTGCATTTTATACATCCGACTGCTTTCAACGTCCAACATCAACATTGCTAGTAGGGCATTTTAGGGGAGGGAAGCGTTGGTCCCAGGTAGTTGTGCGGGGTGCCTAAAAAAAAAGAAAACTAAAGAAGGGGCCCAAAACCTATCCGGAACGGGGCGCGCGGCTCAGGCGAACAGATGTGGAGAATGCATCATAATCCTGACACATTCAGCGCCCAGTTCAAAACAATCTGTGTTGGTTGCGTGGCGCGGCTGTTTCACTTCACGGTAGAAGAATCGAGTGGTTATCTATTCTCTCTTTCTTTCTTTCTCTCTCTCTCTCTCTTTCTCTCACTCTCTCTGTATATATATATATATATATATATATATATATATATATATATATGTGTGTGTGTATGTGTGTGTGTGTGTGTGACTTGCTCTCTATTGTTCACAATATAGCCCGCTCTACCCTGCCTGACAAACTGTGGTCAGGAAAATGGCAATGTGAAGCTAATCACCCAAGTTAGTGGGAGTATTAAGGCAGGAGGGTCTATTCGCCTTACTCCACCTATCACCAAGGGTTTTGCTCCACTACTCAGTACACGCAAAAAAAAAAACAAAACGATGTTGTATCTTTCTATGTTTTAATGAAAGATTCATTCTCATTTTGCACATTTGGTGAGGAGTGGAGTGAGACCCTAAATTAGGAAAATGAGAGTTAGTCTTCCGATATGACATGACAATAAACCTCCTTCATGGTGACGGCACTTAAAACGAGTCACTTTAAAAACCGCATTCCATAGTTTTAGCCTATAATAGTTAGAAAAAATGTCGCATTGATTTATATATGTTGTTCTAAATTTGAATTAATCTTAAAAACGAGGCTTTGAGTCCTTACTTTGTCAGTGAAAGAAAAAACATTGATGTTAGTTTTAAAACACGTCCGACCTCAAGTAATATCACATTTTTTTATCTTAGCACATCGATCATAGATTTCGTTGACATAGTTATATGTGAACTTTTTACTCATCAAGTCATTTTACGAATAATTTATTCAAAAATTTCTTAAACCGCTTTCGACTTTAAAGGACATAGAGTCTTTATAAGGGTTTATGCTTTAACAACAATCAAGTGTGACCCTTTAAAAAAGGGAAGAGTTTGTGATAACGAATAAACATTGAGTTGAGGAAAAACAAATACTAAATAAAGACAAACACAATAGCAAGGAGGATACTGAAACCAAGTTTTAACAAATAGACAATGCACTTGGTTGGAAGGGAAGTTGAACCTAATTTCCAACCAGTATAGTTTTTCACCAATAGATTGAAACTTTCACGCAAAGCTTTGACCATCACGCTAAAATGACTATCTAGACTGTTTGAAATTTTTCCCAAATTGTTTGGTAGATTCTCACTCTTTATGCAATTGTTCGCCACTTTGTTTTCAATTGAGAAAATAACATTCAACTTACAACTTATTTTATGAGGTTGCTTTCATCATCTTCGAAAGTAAATTGCCTATACTAAATTTGAAAACAAAAAAAGATAATGAGGTAACTGTTTAATCACCAAGAAACAACTTTAAAAACTTGTCAAAATTAAGCTTCATAATCGTGACACCACCTCACCGAACTTCGTTTCTCACAAAGATAAAAAAAATCACTAGTGAATTTGTGGTAGAGATTATGATTGTTTTACTTGGTGATAAGTCTTTATTCAAAATTAATTTTTTCTTTTCTATAATTCAACAAAAACTTCAAAATGTTCATGAACTCATACACATTTTTAAGTTTTGCACATATTTTTGGACTCATTGTTTGTGAATACTTGTAGTAGTTTTCATGTTCTCAAAAAATTTAAATTGAGATAATATGCATCTAAGACTGGGGTATTACGGTGGAGGTAGGTTAAATATGAGGTCTAATTCCATAATCCTCAGAGGTTGTCGACCATTTTTTTTATGTCGTTTTCTAATCGAAGAGGTTATGGTCCAAGATGTATGCGAAACAAAATAAAAAAATTGTCCCTACCCCTCTTGACATCAAAGCATTACCAAATATTATCATACCCAAGATTGTCGGCCCGAATGTTCGGAGGGGGTCGGGCCCCTCTTGACATCCCAACATTACAAAATATTTTAATACCGTGGGTTGTCGGCCCGAGCGTTTGGAGGGGGTCGGACCCGCCCAGGACGTTCGGGGGTTCGAACCCTGTCCATTCAACGATTATGGGTCCGCCAAACCCAGTTATGAGGCTTTTTTTTTATAGTAAATAGACAATAATCTTATACACCTACCACTAAAATTTTGTGTTAATCTGTTGCGTTAAAAAAAAAAAGAAACAAATTCGTAAAAGACAGGGGAATGAAAAAAAATTGAACCTCCCTACTGATTTCAGCCTTTTGTTTTTTGACATTTTCATATATATTTACTGATTGATTGATTGATTGATTGATTCATTCATTCATTCATTCATTCATTCATTCATTCATTGAGGTGGGGTCACGCCCTACCCGCGATCCCTTTCCCGTCAACCAATCAATTAATTAATATATATATATTTTTTTCTTTTTGAATTTTTTTATCATATATTGATTGATTGATTGATTGAGGGGGGTCGTCACCTGCCCGCACACAGATACACACATACGTGAGAGTTCATCATACTTATTTTTGTTTGACTTTTGTTTTTGATTGATTGATTTTGGGGAGTCGCCCCCCCCTCCCTGCGTGCATACACACACACACACACGCGTGTGCTGGTTAGCGTTTTTTTTCCAACAATTTTTATTTTTTGATTGATTGATTGATTGCAACAAGGGGGTCGTCTATCCCCCCCGCGCACACAGACATGCACACAGACACACACATATATACACACACACACACAGATGGCGGGAGGGGTTCTTGCCGCTCGACAGACAAACTACCTCCCTACTCATTTCTAAAAAATTAAAATGTGTCTTGTGAAGAAACCCCCTTAGGCAATGCATAAAAACAAAATTCACGTTCTGACCGAACTTGTGGTCGGGGCATCCCGAATGTTTGGGCGTTCGGGCTCGAGGGTTCGACCAAACCCGAACATTGGTTACCCTACTTATATGAAAATATGCAAACGAGATTCCTTGTGTAGTTAAAATAATAAAATTTTCAAACAGTGGTTGTATAACTATTATTATGTGACAGACAAAGTATGATCGTTTAACACGTTGAGAGAATTAGCATAAGTTGTCATTTTACTAACTGAAACTAGAAAATGCACGTTGCCTGTTATGATGACATTGATTTCAATTTATTTGTAAAAAAAAACTTATAAATGTAATATAGATTGATGATAATAAAAAGTTTGACAGCAGCCCTCTGAGTCATCTCTTAAAACATGGTTAAGATTTTGAAGGTGAAGGGTCGTGAACCAACCTGGACTGATCTAAAAGATGGTTAAGATCTGTTAAAACATGGTTAAAATCTTGAACTGATCGAACATTTTCAAGACTATAAACAGTCTG